GTCGCCCTTAGGAACGACTTTGAACGGAGTAGAAAAAATCCTTGTCCCTAGAGACCAGAATGCTTTGGGATGATTAAAAGGGTCGAGGGGCCAGACTAAAAGTAGTCCTTCTTTCGCTTAGTCTGTCGTGCGTGACGCGAAAAACAACAAAGAGGAAATTTTTTGCTCGCGGTTTATTTACGGTCTCGCTCGACGGACTAGGCGAAAGATCGACCACTCATAGTTTATTTTAGAGCTAGAGGGCACGGAAGAGGTAACAAAACAAAACTTTGGCCTCGAGCAAGAAAGTCAAAAATTTGCAAGTCAGTGCATTGCAGGTTTTGGCGATAAAATCACTTTTTAAAAAAATGATATGGAATGGTGTTTTTTTAACTGTTTTTCCTGAATGTTCTTTTGCAGTTGGTGTAACTCCCTGCCCTGAAAGAAAACGATCCTGTAAAAAATGTCTACAGGGGGATAACCTGTGTTACTGGTGTTCCTCAACGGCGAAATGTGCGCTGTACCCGTCGGAAAATTTCGAACCAGAAGATTGCGCCAAGGGCAGGTGGTACTACAAGGAATGTCCGGTAGTGAAAGATCTGCTGTGGGTTCTCTTCCCGATTTTAGCCATCATTCTTATACCCATCATTGTGTATTTGATAATCTGGTTAATATGTTGCTGTATGCGAGCAGCGGGTTACGAGCCCCTGGAACCAACGGAACCATCCAAGAAGAAACGCCCCAAGGGTATCCGATTGAAACCCGGGTCCCCTTCAAACAAGACCGACGAGTTGAGACAAAAATACGATCTCAATAATCCTTAAGGCAGTTTCTAGTAATTCAGGTAATTTTAGGGTATCGCTAGGGATGTGTAAGGGAATGGAGTTGAAACAAAACTCTTTGAATTGTAACACGAAAAAGGCTGGTGTTATGGCGATATAATTTAAATTTCTTATGATATTAGTAACTCATAGCAAATGAAGCAATAGCCATTTGAGGCACGCGTGATTTAAGCAGGAGCTTCCCACGCTTCTCGCGCGCCACGCGTTATTCCCGCAACCATTCGTATTTAACATCACATTCAAATTTCAAAATAATAAACACCTTATAGTACCTTAATTTATAATTAACCGAGTGATAATAATTAAGCAATGCAGTGTTTGGCTAGTATTTTTCACATTATTTTTGTATGGTAGAGCATTTGTAAAACTGAGTAAGGGATTTGTAAAACTAAACAAGGCAAGGGACGTTTTCAGGACCGTATCGCTTTAGCAGCAAAACCGGTAACCAATGCAATGTCAGGTTTGATAGCTAAAGAGCAAAATCGTTCAAAGTGCCCGAAGCCGTGTTTCAAAGCAAAGAACTGGAGAACTCCAGTCGTTCGAGAAACCGCTAGACTGACGTCTTTGCGGGCGCGTATTTGTGATAATTGCCGGGCTAAAATATTAGGGAGGGGTGGGATGGTGGGAGTTTGGGGATTGAAGAGAGTTCGGAGGTTCGCAAAACCGACTCCGTAAATAAAATTAGGCATGACTGTTAACGATCATGATCATGTTTTATAAGTTTTTCATATTTAATAAGGGGAGGACCATAATTTTGCGAAGACAGAAGTGAGAAGAATTGAATTGTCGTTCGCCAAGCCAACCAAGTTAGTCTTTTCTCTTTTATATACTGATGTATCCCTGTAACCAAGTGAATTAATGTGGGTATCTAAACATAAACACCTTGGCCGGGTTGCTCAGACGTCGGTTAACGCTAACTCAGGATTCAAAGTTAACCGAACTATCAATTTCTGTTGTATTAAAATGATTTTCACTGCTCATGTTTTGTGTAGTTTGAGATTACTGAAGCTCAAAACTGAAGGACAAACAATATAAACAGAAAACTTCACCAAAATACTTCAAAACTGAAGTCAAAATTCTCGCCAATCCTCGGCCCTGTGGTTTCCATATTACGCCCGATCGTGAGGTGAAATACCTACATTGTAGGCCGGACATCGAATATTTTCTTCGCATGTATGACCTACAGTTGAATTTATGCTCAGGAAATGGTGTACAGATTCGTCGAGTTAGAGGAACAATCAAATTATTACTGCGAGCTTATAGAAAACAGCTCTCTTAACGTGACTATATGGTTAATGGGGTTCTATCCTTGTCTACCGCTAAACATGGGAATAACCATTGTATTTTCCTAGTTCAGGAGGCATTAAGCCGAAATGAATCGTGTTGTTCCTTATATCACTTCTTGTGTACTCGGACAGACCCGTTGAGGGCCAATTTCCTTCGTTTATGACCGTAATGGTTTATGAGTTCTCATGTACGATGTATGATAACAACATATTTTTACTCATTACAATAAACAATGGTTTGGATAGTAGTTATTATCGATCCAGGGACGACTTTTGTGCAAAAATAATAATATAAAAAAATTGAGAGAGAAAAAAAAAGGCGTATCTTGAACTGTGTGCCTCCATTGTCGTTTGCTGTATCTTAATTTTCACTCTCGTTGCTAAGTCGATCACAGGTCCTCGAAGGTCTGCTTGTCCCAGTGAACGACCTTCAAAAATACTGCATGCTTGTTTAGAACTAAGACCCAGTTTGCATTCACCGATTAGATTATGAGCTCGAGATTTGTATCACTCATAGAAATCGAGAAATCTACTTGACTTTCAAACTTTTATCTAAATCCTCTTCACAGACGCAAGAAAACGCTAAGAAGCGGTCGCCATTTTGTCAATGACCGCACACTGTTGAGCTACTCCTTATCCACAACAAAATAAATCGTGAGTAGCGCAGCCAGTAAGAAAACGGTATTCGTAATAGAACGCTTGTAGATTTATGCGTATAACCCATATTATGAAGTATGACACAAGGTCTAATTAAGGCAAGTGCCATTTTGGTAATTTATTCACTTTTACAAAACTTTTACATCACTTATGGTAACGCCATCTTGCCTGGACTACATTTTAACAATTCTCTTAGTTTATATATTAGCGTCTTAAGATCATCATCATCATCATGTTAGAAGTCCTTGTCAATGCTTTGGGTTATTCTAACTTCTTAAAAACGTTCAGTGTGCACACTGTAAATCCCTTCTTATCTGTCCTCCTATTCAGTGGCATCTAACGGAAAATGAACAATATAGAACTTAAATATACACTTACATGTAGTCAGGTAAATAAATATTGCCTTTATATACCCTCGGTAGTGTTTATAGCACAAAGTCTAGTGGAGCCGAGCAAACAATTGAAATAAATGATTGAAATTAAACAACATTGCTAAGAATCCCAACTGGCCGAAGGCAAACCAGTTGGCTATTTAGAAGCGTTGCCGACCATTTGAACTCGGGGCTCCCGAGAAACAAATCCAGGTAGTGGTCAGAGTGGGACTCGAACCCGAACCGCTGGATTGCGAGTCCGACACGCTGACCACTCGGCCACGCTGCCTCCCTATGAAGTCAACCCTAAAGCCCTGATCAAACGGACTCGCAAGTAGTCGCAAGCAGCCACAAGCTGAACTTGCGTAGAGACTTGCGTTGGGTGGCCAAACGGATTCGCAAGTTTCCTCGCAAGTACACGCAGGTCGCAAAAAAACCCACTACAAGGCAGACATATCCTGTATTTCATTGCCTAATAATAGGTTAATGGACGTCACTCAACTTGCGTTGACGTGGGTTGGGTGGCCAAACGGTGAAAAACTTGCGTCGACTTGCGTGCAAATTTCATCTCGACCAAAGTGAGCGCAAGTCATCGCAAGTCAACGCAAGAGCACGCAAGGCCAAACAGAGTCGCAAGCAGACGCAAGTTGAGAATTTGCGTCTACTTGCGACTCCGCTTGGCCAGGGCTTAAAGTCCTGGCCAAACAGACTCGCAAGTAGACCCCAAGTAGACCCCTACCTGCGACTCCGTTTAGTCAGGCCTTGCGTGCACTTCCGTTGGCTTGTGATGACTTGCGCTCACTTTGGTCGAGATCACATTTGCACGCAAGTCGACGCAAGTTTTTCACCGTTTGGCCACCCAACCCAAGTCAACGCAAGTTGAATGACGTCCATTCGTTGTTATAGCAACCTATTAGCCGATAAAAGACAGCCTTGAAAGCCTTGAAATGTTTTTTTTCTTTCTTTTTTTTTGTGACTTGAGTGTACTTGTGAGGGAACTTGCAAATCCGTTTGTCCACCCAACGCAAGTCTCAAGGCAAGTTAAACTTGCGGCTACTTGCGTCTACTTGCGTGTGACCTTGACTCAATTCTTGGGACAAGAAAGAAGGGATTTTTCAGGTTTATTATTGTGGGGCGAGTGCCGACCGGGTCTGAATCTGCTACGCTGTGTAAGACCCCATCGCGTTACAAAATCTGCACCATATTGTGCTTAATCAAATGCAAACAAAATTGTTGACTTGTTCCCCTCGCGTTCATTACTTACCTAAATCTGGGTGAACAGGTTGTTGGACAGCGAACAACTCAATCCTGTACCATCAGGCTCCACATTAAGCTGCTTGATCACTCCGTCTTCAATCAGCATTGAGTATCTCTTTGAGCGAACATTTCCCAAGAATGGAGTTGCATCTAGCTCCAAATCAATAGCCTGGTAATAGGTAAGGAAACGTCAGTCACCAGGCCTCAGCGAGCGCTAGCTCGGGTCGTTGTAAATGTTTTGAACAAGTTTGTGGCAATTTTCTCAATGCTGACCATTCTTGTTGCTTTAATAATATTCCGTCCATATGAAAAGGAGGAAAGTCATCTTGCACATCACAAAAAAGGGTTTACGGCTATGTTGAGAAAGCATGACCTATATGGCGATTTTACCATTGGGTTTCAGTGCAATTTGGAGACGCTATTCTAAATTAAACCACACACTGAAACTGGACCAATGTCAGCGATAATAATAATAATAATTTGGTTTTGTAAAACAGAACTCGGCAAATTATAACAACCCACCAGGAAGACAGAAAGACTGTGGCAGCGTCCATAATACGCTGGATAAATTTGAAAACGCAGCTTTATTCCTACCGGGTTAGGCCAACCGTCCACACTAAATCCGTCACGAAAACGGAGCTTTTCGAAAACGCTCTTCAAACCGGAGAAATTTGAAAAAGCCGGCTTTTTGTTTTCGTGCATGCGGACGGAAAACATTTTGAAAACGGCGGTTTTCGCAAACAATGGTGTCACCATAATCATGTGATTTCTCTGACCGAGTTTACCTCAAACACAAATCCAAAAATGACCGGAAAACATTTTATGCGCGCTTTCAGAATGATACCTCCGTTTTCAAATTCCTCCGGCGTAGTGTGGACGAGCCTAT